CTGGATTCTTCAGTCGTATTCTCTGTAAATTCCTGATCTCAAGATTATTCAAGCATACAATTCTCACAGACTTTTTCTTTGAAGCCCATGCAGGGCTAATCCAAACAGGAGGTGCAGTAGAAAGCTCCACTGTATTGTAAGACTGGAGTTCATCTACTGCTTTCAGCATCGGAGTGTAAAGCATGAGTTCTTCTTTTCTTGTCTAAACTATTTTGAATGAAGTTTCTTTTACATGCTAGTTTGGCAAGCTTCTAAGGCATTTGTGCAAAGTGATGATGCAAAAGCAACCTGATTCAACACTGAGAAATTCATAAATAACATCCAGCAGTAATTAAAGTAAAAAACTACAGCTAAGAAAAATAATTCCCCTACAGTATCAGTTGAGCTACTATACTCTTCAGTGTTACAAGTAGAATATGTTTACTGGTGCCTTCAACTCAGGAGGTATCGTTGTGAGTTTTAAATACACCAAGGATTCGTTCTGTTTGCTGTTTTGTTTTTTTTTTTTTTTTTGTTTACATAGACTGAATTGGATTAACAGTGATTAAAAAACCATTAATATATACGTAGAGAAGGGATAAGAGTGGAATTAAAACACAATGCCAAAAATCACTATCTGGAAACATACTACACATGTAGTCGGTATTTTTGTATTAAAATAAGAAGTTAATTTTGAAGTCCAAAATGGTTCTAAGATAACTTAGCGCACTCTATAAGGCCATTCTCAGGAGTCAAGCACATGATGCTCAAGATGGGGATATTTGTGAAGGATTTCAGTTTGAAGAACTGGAATAGCCAGCTGATGTCTTTACCATCTCAATGAGAAAGTCTGCGCCATTTTCAGTAAGTACGTACTAAAGTCACAAAAAAACCAACCCTGTAAACTCTTTGGCTGCGTTTCTCTTTAGCGTTAAATGGCAGGTATCATTCACACACAGCGTAGTTGTTCGGTTTTTATGTATGCAAATCTCAATGAAGTAGTAGAATTTAGGTAGCTAGTAGTATAGTGAATAATGGGTAGGTCTTAAAAATAGCCTCAAATTCAGTTCAGAGGTGCATTTATTTTTTTTTTTAATTCATTTACAAAAAGGTGAGGAGAAGAAAAATCAGACAAAAAAATCTGTTCCTCTTGGGGTACAGCTATGGCTGTTGTGCCTTGGCACATAATCCATGCTTTTCTGGCCTTGGGAGAGAAGGTGAGAGTAGTTGTGGATACGAGTTTACGATTCAGGCAGAAAAAATGGTAGCCAGCCCAAAGCAACTTGATAATTAAGAAGGGTAACCACTGCATGATTTCTGGACTTCATCCTGTGCCTACAGGAATTTCTGTGGTTATGCTTTTGGTATCAGCCAGGTGTTGGGGAAATAATTGAGATTTTATTTATTTTTACACCTTGACAAAACAGAATAAATCAACTATGTTGTGGATTAGTTGATAATAAAGACAGGAGTACTTTGTGAAATTCAGTTGTAGAACTGGGCTTGGATAAAAATGCTCAAATTTAGATAATGCTTGTGGTTTGGACTAACATCTCACATTCAGTTTTTGTCTTTTTGTGACTCTAGTTTTCGTTATGAACCTGTAAACATCACAATATGTAGTCTCAGGAAGGTCACTGTATGTCTCAATACTAGATAGATACATCTTTAGCAGGACTTCATGTGAGGAGCAGTTAAAAGCTTGTATGAATAAGGCACTAGTAAATGTTTGCAGCAAACAACAATTACAGTCTGTATTCTTTAAGAATAAAGCCGTTCGGTTTAGGAAATTGACTTTAATATGACAGAGATACCAATGCCAGTTAGAAGGGGGTTAGAGAAAGTGCATCTTCTGGATTATGCATGTGAGGTCTGTCAGAAACCACTGAATGCAAATTCCTAAGTTTGGAAATAGCCCATGCAACAGTGGTACTCAGGAGAGCTAAAGCAAGAGGAAACTGGTCTAGATTCTGATTCCTGCTAAACCCATGTGCAAGGACTGTAATGGATTTGCTCCAGATTTATTTACAGTGGTAAAAGGATTTGAAGCCAAAATCGAGGCTGCTACAGCAAATTTAGTTAAACAGTAACAGTACTGACCCAAAACAAATAATTGAGTATAATCCCCTTAACTTCAAAAAAGAATCTAATTTTTTTAATTTCCTACTTGTTGAAGTCCAGTGATGCACTTTGTCTTTTGCTAAGATAACAGACCAAAGCCTTCTGTACTACTTTGGAGTTGCTGCCATTCTAAACAGTTGGTTAGTAAAATATCTGAAACTTGAGTCTGCCAGTCTGTATGTAGGATGGCTCGCTGCTATTTCACATCATGAGTTTTTTAAAAAAAAAAAACAAAAGTTTTCTGTTCATAAAACCTCAACAAACTGCAATTTTAAAATGTACTTTTACATATCATTGCTTTTGGGGGCATCATTGAAGCACCAGTATTTGTTTAGCAGGCCAGTAAGAATACATTTGTAAACTAATGGATCTGGTTAACATTCATGATTGTATTTCCCTAGCATCTGTCCAGTAAAACTACTACATCTGACCCATTCATTTGATATACTAAATGGAGGGTCAGTGGTAACTTCAGTCTGATTTCATCACTAAATCCTGCTTTGTAAACAGATAGCTTAGCTTCATCTGCCAGAGTTCTATTCCGCTCAGATCTTCCATTATTACTTCTGTATTACAAGATGTCTTAAAACACTTAACACATTTTTAGTATCCATAATGCAAGAGGGAAAAAAAATACATTGATTCATGCCTGTATGTTGCTACCATCAGGTGCTACAACTACCAATGCTGGAGAGTGGGGGTTTTCTTGTTTACTTGGGGTGGTTTTGTATCTTATGTAAAGACTAAGTATTAAGTTTATATCAAGCTTTAAGATCACCCATGCCTGGGGATATTAGAAGCTTTATAAATAACTGGCTTGTAAAGATGTGGTATGTTTTTGTTTGATTTGGTATTCTTTAGCTTTGACTCAAGACTAAATTCATTGGTGGTATAACTTGGTTGAAATTTTCACCAGAATTCAATATGGATTAATACTCGTTTCTTAAAACAAAAAAACCCCACCAAGTAAATTAAGTGCTGGGGATTGTCCTCCCATACTTGCTGTACATATTCTAAATTACATACAGAAAGAAAATACAGAAATGACTCTTCACAAAGATCTTTCCTTCACTTATTTCTTATATGAATGTCAAGAATATATGCTTTTCTGTTGGGGGGGAGGTAATAAACAGCATGTGTGTATCTGAGTATTAGAAAATGCTACTGAGCAGTAGAGCTGTGCAGAATCTGTTCTGTAAAAGTTGACAAATTTAATTTTTACGTAACTATTTTCAGTAAGATGATGTAAATCTTGGCAATTCTAAAAGGAACAATCATTCTTTGTCAAAAGTGTGCCTTTTGCAATCATAAGTGGTTTTGCGGTGTGTCTCTAGCTGGCAATTTGAAGTTGTGCATATGTTACCACGTTAGAATTTCCTAAGCTGTGCTTCCTTTAAAATAAATTTGAACTTTCTGTGACCTTGTAAATGAAACTGGTGTTTTGAAAGTCACGGTTTTTAACTTGTTTTTAAGACTTAAGTAATACTTTGGGATGTGGTTGTTTTCCTTCTCTTCTGCTTTCAAACTGTGCCTTCAGTAACATACAGCCAGGTGAGAAAAGTCTGCAGTTTGGGGAAAGTTCTGTGAATATTTTAAAACCCGCAGAACAGTTTGCTTTCATAGCTGTATTTCTTCAACAGAAGCAGAAGGATAGTAATGAAACATTTTTATTATGAAATGAAGCTATTACAGCTCTGACCAGAGAACAAAAACTCATTGTCAAACATCTAAATGTGTTTTTTTGGGTTTTTGGGTTTTTTTTTGTTTTTTTAAAAAGCAAATTTACACTTTCATGGAAGAGGCGCTGCTTGGTACAACTGAGTTATGTTTGTAGAGGCACACTGTTAACACCAACTGAAACTGTGGCCTAAAATAAAGGTATCACATTTGTTTGTGCTGATGGATGACACCGGTATGGATGACATTTGATCAAGAAATCCTACTTCATGATTTTTTCAAAGTAAAAGGAGGTGTAAAATCAAACAAAATGACTGGAACATTTAACAACAATTATTGCATGATTTTGCATAACCCTTGACCTTTCTAAAAAGCAGTATTTGATTTTTTTATCATATTTTATGTATTATGCATATAATGCGATAATGAGTCATCACACAACTGCTCTCACGTGATAAATATTTAACTTGGGGAAGAAATTTTCTTGAGATAACAAAAAAGAAAAATCAGTTCTAGGTCTTTACTGTTAAGCCAGAGATTTTGTTAGATGAAACATGTTGAAAGGAATCTGTATTACGATGATTAAAAAAGCCCCGCATATCTGAGAGGCTTTAGGAATTATGATGAATTTGATGGATGAATTACCAGTAATATAAATCTCATGTGTTTTAAGGCTAGTTCGAAGAAATGGAGCAGTGATACTCAAACTAAATGCTCAAATAAGGAAGTATTTGCATGACTGGCTATTTAAAGGCAATGATTTGTACGGGTGAAAGTTTGCTTATTCCCTTATATTTTTCTAATACAGTAAACCTACCATCTACTTGAACATCAGTAATAACTAATCTGAGAATTCTGCCATTTGAGAGCATGAATCTTGGTTTTGCCTCACGGTTCATTCTAGCCAGGTTGGCAATTAGGGAAAGTCCTAAAACTGAAAGAGAAAAATGGACACATGCTGTTAAATTAAACTGTGGAACCTTAATGTGGAAGCAGAAATGACATTCAGTGTCAGAAGTTACAAACTTGAAAATCTTAAATAATTCAATATAGAGAATATAGTTTAGACAGTTTTTATGCAAGTGTGCTTTTTCCTAAAAACACCCCCCCCAACCGAACTGTTTTTTTTTGCTTTTTAAGTCTTTTGTCTGTAAATATGAAAGAAAGAGGGTTACACCCCAGCGTCATTCTTCATCGCCATACTATACAGTAAAATAGTCTTTCTAATTCACATTGCTCATGGCAGTCTTATTTGATGTTGCTTTATTAAGTTTGTGATTAAAGCAGTTTGGGATTTTTGTTGGTTGTAAACTTTTGGCATAATGTGAATACCAGTCCCTTTCAAAAACAGCCTTGAGTTGCTTAATGATGCTTGTGCTGTTCCCCGCGTCTGCTTGGTTGATAACAAGGCCAGCTCCAGCATTCTGTGTAAAAGCATTGCCTACCCAATCAAAATTACCTACGAGTAAAGGCAGGAATATACAATAAGTTTCTGACATTAAAAAGAAAACAAGCAATCTCCCCAAAGGCAATCCAGCATGATACAGCATAATGTGTCCCGGTGCCTACCTGGGCAGAGGCAGAAGTAAGTTTTCTGTACTTGCGGGAAAGAAAAAACTCCATTACATACCAGTGTGCAGTGCAGAGTGTTTCTGGAAGTTTAACAGCTCTAATCCTTCATAAGTGAAAACAGGTTCTTTTATTTATTCAGAACTAACTAACTTGCTCTTCCTTTTGCATATATTGTATTATTACACCATCTACTTTCCTTATCAGCCTTTTCAGTGCCAAGAATGAAGTGTATTTTTTTTCCTGTATAAACAGTTTAAAGTAGATGGTAATGCTGAACCAAACCAATAGATCTTTTACAAGTCACCCACTGATAGATACTATTTCAGGAAAGAAAAGCAGGTTTTACTGCTTTATGCCAGTTATTACTGCCTTTGTTGATATCTAAGGTAGCGAATGAGCATTCCAGAGCCTGATGATCACAAGGCAAAGAGGGTAATTGGATTAATCGAGAACAGGTGAACCAAGTGTTTCAGTTATTTCTTTTTATTTCACTAGAACTAGAACTATTTAAGTTGTACATTTACAACACATGCAGTATTTTGAAGAAAAAAATGCTGTTACTAGAGGTCAGATTTAAAACAACATCTGAACATACATGAACATGAAGATATCTGAGAAATTTATTCCTTTTATTTAAGTATTCAGGAAATGTTAAGAGTTCTAAAGTTGTCAAGAATGGTAACTTGAAGCCTCATCATAAGGGACATTTCTTCCTATGCTTGCAGGTAAAAGGTATATCAGGTCCTTAAGCACGTATTTGTATTGCACACAGCTTTGATAATGTACTTCTTTCATTTCTTTATATGTAAGGATGTAAGGACATTGGGAAAGAAAAAAAACAACTCAGCTAAGAATCCATGCTGTGTAGACAGGTTATAAGTTATTGAAATTTGATCTGGCTATTGGAATTTAGAGTGAAAAAAATTATTGGGGGGGGTGGAGCTTATAAACAGTTGGGAGATGAGGAATAAGCTGCACTATTGGAAGTGAAAAGTAAGATTTGGAGAGGTTGAGAGGGGGACAGGTGGGTGGGTATGCTTAAAGCCCAGCAAGGTGAGCTTTTCAGAGTAGCTCTTGGTTGTATCTCTGCACAACTTGGGATTCTGCATCTCTGTGTGTATGGGCATGCTTCTGTGTTGCAGCCTTAGCATTCCCTCTGCCTCTGCAATCGCTGGCTTTAAGCTCTTCGCAGTGAGAGTGAGGAAGTAAGCTAGTAAAGCATCAAGCTGCAGCATATTAGAATGCATGTTTTCTCTCTTGGCTTTATAAAATCCCATGAGTTACCTTTTAGTTCAGTAGGAGTTTTCTGATCCTGCAGCTCACACACAGCTCAAGCAGTCAGATTTTTTTTTTTTAAAGGAAGTTTTTGGCCTGCATTCAGTAAGCATTTGATGGATAATGAACTTCTGCTAGAGACCTTACTTAAATACACCTTTAACCCCAATTACCATTTAGATCTGTACCTAATGTTAGGAGGGTGTCTGGAATGTCATGGCAGTAAATGGAATAATACTTCAGAAGGTGAGAATAAAAGGCATCTGTACAACAGTATTTACCAGGATTGACTATAGCTTTAGTAATAACATGGAAAGTGGAGAACAGTCCCATCTTCATTGGACTGTAGAAACCAGAGAATATGTTAATAAGCCCATCTATTCATATTTGATAAAGTGTGCTGTATTTGTGTTCTCAGTCTCTTTTTAAACACTGCAAGCAGACCATTACTTTTGAGAAACTCATTCCTGGGGGAAGGAGGAGAAGTTTTTAAATGAGAAGAAGCTGAAAGCTCAGTTTCCATCCAGGTTAGCAAGGAAAATTAACTATTACTTAGGCATATCAGCTGTAGATTCTTCACTTACAAATGGGTGTTACTTCAGGCTTTTGGGTACAAACTAGGATTTCTTGAGGTGTGGTTACTTACCAATGTATGCAGCTCCCTCAGTCACCATATATTTGTTACGATTTAATTTGGGAAGGGAAGTGTTCTTCTGTTCTTTAAGAAAGCACGCATTCTCTTCCTCAAGGTCGAAGAATTTCTGCCATAAAATAGAGTAGACTGCAGGTTAATACGAACTGTTCTATAATGGACAGAAAAAATATGGTCTGTTCTCTACTCTTTATTGAAAATGAGTTAGTGCTACAGAACAGCTTGAGTTTTTATAGCCAAGCATTAATTTTAATAAAACACTACACATTGTATTGCTGAGTAAGTTCTCATAGTTTATAATACTTGTTATGCCTTGGTATTCAGAGCTATACAAAGGGCATGGTTCTTGCATGCTAAAAGCAATACAGTGCCAGGTAGTAAAGGCTGTTGAATGAACAAAAACCCCATCTTCATGTTCTGCATGGTAAGAGCCAGGAACTTTTCTTTAGCTCATTTCCTCGATCATTGAGGGAGACTGGGGTTTGAAGTCTGCTTCAGGATCCAGATTGGCAGGCACACCAACAGCTGAATTAATACCTTCATATTGCAGTTTCCAACAGGAAACCTAGTAAGATTTTTTAAATTTTTTAGGGTGTTTTTGTTTGTTGTTTTTTTTTTTATTTTATTTTGGAGCTATATCTACACCCTGTCTGCATGAGTGCCAGACAAAAATGTGATTTTCTAGTACAAATATAAGTATTGTTTATTTTATCAAGGAAAGCAATACCTAGACAGAGATTCTAAAACCAGAAGCAGAGAGTAACATGTTGAAAGAAAATTAAATATTTAACGCATGACTGGGAAACTGTGGTTGAGGTGATGGTGTAGATGCTCGGAACAATCCTAATTCACAGCATATCACTGGTAAAAAGTAATGGGCTATACACTACACCTACTTAAGACATCAAAAAATTGTATTAGAGGAACGCCACCCCAGGACTCCATGATCATTCTTGGGGGTCTGTTTTCTGTAATGCAAAATTCATCTCTTGAACTCAGGCTTTTTTTTTAATACAAACCTGGAACAAATCTTTTTAGGTTATAGAGATGTCTTGCAGAATAATATTACTACTTTGAAAACCCAACTGTAAAATACTAAATTCATTATTGTAATGTAGTGGTCTCTGCGGTTGACTACATCATCAGCTTGATTAAAACTCCAAGAGCTTGTGGTTTTTTCAGGGCCCTGATATTGCATGATACTATGGTGCAGATTTATGATGAATAACTATCAAAAAGTTGTTTCCATAAACAGTCTCTGGATTTTGTATGTCACTGCATGCTTACTTACTTGTTATCTTGCACAGCTTAATGTTTGTCAGGAGTTCAGATAACAGCAGAATTCCAGATACAGTTTTTTTGAATTCAAAAACAAGCCAAACAACCTGAACTGTTTGAGTGATTGCTTCATAAAGGTCACTGAAAAAGATTATTCTATGTAAAACTGTTATCTGTCCTGTAAGTGAGATTTTTCATAGAACCACAGAATGGTTTGGATTGGAAGGGACCTTAAAGATATCTAGTTTCAACCCCTCTGCCATGAGCAGGGACACCTTCTCCTAGACCAGGCTGCTCAACGCTTCATCCAACCTGGCCTTGAATACTTCCAGGGAGGGGGCAGCCACAGCTTCTCTGGGCAACTTGTTCCAGTGTCTTACCCTTTTAGTAAAGCACTTCTTCCTAGTATCTAACCCAATTCACATCTAACTAAGCTGCATGGAGAAAGTGTATTGTTAATTAAAGATTTTTAACGTCACTACAATTACAGCATCATGCTTTTTAAAAGAATTAGAACAAACCATCTTAACAGCTGTAAAGGAAAGTTTACTAGATATTAAGGGTTAGTTCTTGGACAACATCAAGACTGTGTGCTTGAGGAACTGCACTGCAAACATGTGCCCAGCACAGAAAGTAGAGGCACTTGGCAAGCCAGAGATGGAGCTATAGCTTTCTGAGAGAGTTGTGAATTTTTTGATAAAGCCAGAAGAAAATGGTCATGTTTTCCTGGCGCAACAAAATGGGAACAGATACAGGTGTGCATAGGATCTGTAGACACAGATGCACAGTTGATGGTCACTTAGGGTGTATCCCCTTGATGGACAGCTAGGGCATCCATCCAGGAGTCACACAGGGATGAGGAACATACTAATATTGCAAGGAATAGTGTAAAATATGCACATGGGTAAAGTATTCAATGCTAGAAAACAAAACATAATAAGTTGTCATCTTCCCAGTGTTAGGAAAATTAGCAAAAATTTACATACCTTCATGTAAAAATAGTCAAGCACAATAATCATGTAAGCTTAGTCGTCAAATTGAAATAGATTCAGCAGATGTGCTGAATGGAAAAATCATACGTTAGTGTTCTGTTTGTATTATGACCTTGTAAGAGAGAAAATTTCAGATCCAGGAAGAAAAGAGAAGGACTGAAAACGTCACATGCTCTCCGGCAACAGCAGAGAAGCTATTTAGTGCTTGACAGTACACGTACTAGTAGGGAAACCCATCTGCCCTCGCAAAGATGATACGCACATGTACTTTAGATAAGCAAGTGAACCAGCACTGGCATTAAGTAGCACAGCCTAACATTCTCCAACATGCGCCTTCAGCAGAAGTACTGCGTTAATAATACACCACCTTCTGCTAACATTTCATTAATCTTTTCCATTCTTACTTTAGGAGTTTAGAGCTTTAAAATTAAACTATTGCTTAGGAGAAAAGGTTTCATAGTTAATTCATAAAACTTTGCTTGAATTTATAACTTACAGTTCTCTTAATATTTCAGTGTTCTGGAGTATAAACACATACAACACATGTCTGCATGATGGTATTTTCTGTACAGAGTTTAGTTTGACTTTGTTTGCTCATACTCAAAGGTGAACCAAAAAGGAAAAGTGGAATTTTCCAATAATTTAAAAGATTTGAGTTTTCACCTTGTTATCCTATTCCCCTGCACCCTAGTTTTGTTTTACTTTGACCCTAGGTAGAACAGATGTCAAGATGCAAAAGAAATGGAGTTTTTAAAAACTAGTGCTCATCTTGCATGTTTTGTGAGGTAAAGGACTGTCATGACAGAGCCTGTGCACAGTTTCAGCCAAAATCAAGCAGATATCATTAAACTCTGAGCATTGGGCTATTACTCGTGCCAAGGCTTATTTAAGGCAGTGACTTACCCAGTGTGTGGAACACGTGATGCACAGCACAGAGATCACTGAGGTGCGTTGTACCTTTACAGCTATTTAAATCTGGAGCAGTCTCATTTTTTTACTGGAAGTGGTATTTGTATTTTCTACCTGCAGACAGAATATCTACCTAAAGAGATGTCTAGATTTATTTTTTTTTCCCTTTTAGGATTTAGTTCTTGATGAGATAAATTCTGTACTAAAGATTCTACCTGCTGTAAATAGATGGAAATGGATATGAGTATGTAGAGCATTCGGTGCCACTTAAATAAAAAATAAGTTTGAATACATAAATAGAATTTTGATGATAAATACAGAACAAGCTGGAAAATACTCAAAATTTAAGTGGCTTAAGCAGTGTCAGCCATGTATGGGCTTTTTTACTTAAAAGCACACATTATGCTGCTTCTTACCTAGGGAAGTTGTAATACAGTGTACGTTGTAACAAAAATCCCTATTTCTAGACATGCATAAGTATAACTTTGTGTGTATAACACTAATAGTACTTGGGGTTTGCAATTGTAGATTTTAAAATGTCAAAGTGATTTAGTCGATTGTCAATTTAAGAAGTCAAATAATTCAGCAGATTAACACAGTTATTAAAAAAAACCCCAAAAAACCAAAAAACCAAACAAAAACCAACAACAGAAAACCAAAACCCCAAAACACCCAGAAAGGAATTGATCCATGATGAATTGATCCAAGATGGCTGATGGCCAGTGTGCCTCAATTCCATAAAACTGAACTGTATCAAGTTTAAAGTGGTACTTACCAGACACTCTTTTCTCTAACACAAATGTAACAGATATGGTATTTCTCATTTCCCTGTATTGCATGTCTAAAGTAGTCACATAATGGTGGTTCTAGTCTTCACAATTCTGATCTGTAGCCTGAATTTAATGTAAAATCTTCATTATTTTTTCTTGTACTTTGTACTTGACCAAAGTAGATGCTTACACAGCTGAACAATAAGGTTACGTGAATCCCAACTAAAACAGGTTTTTGTGCAGTCACATTTATCAGCCAGTATAAACAAGACATGACCATGGTTCACTCTGTTAGCTTTGCAGTAAAAGACCAGATGTAGTGTTTTACACAGGCTGTCCACTGCATGGATTGCCTTTTGGCATAATTCTGTTGTTTTGTTTTAATTTCTATAGCTATTACTACTAGGAATAAATTCTGTTCATCATGTTACATTTCCTGTTATTTAATGCCATTTAAATGCTTTAATATCAACAGAAAACACCTCCCAGTTGTGAAGTTTTCTTGGTTTTTGGAGGGCAGGGTTTGGGAAATATATTACAAAGCAATATGGATTATACTTACAACTTTCAAACTACAGCTTGGAACTTCAGTGCAAATAGCTTTTAGAGATGAAACAAAGTTAAAAGTAAGGGGATCTGTGTCTCTTGAGAAACTTATGAGAAGTCGTACTTTAATACTTCGTAATACTAAGGCTTCTCTTATCTTCCCATCTAAATATGGCCAGTACCTGTGGAGAAAGAATACAGTATATCCAGAGAACTTAAAAATTTCTTAGATTTCTACACAGCCAAGTCTAGACATCATAGAGAAAATAAAACACATGTGAATTTCATTTTCTGTTTGTTGGAGGAATACAGTTCTCATTTAAAGGGATTCTCACTAAACAGATTTGCCAGCATCCCCTTTTTGTGTCATTCTGCCCTGCACCAAAACTGTCACTGTGGGGACGGTGGGGTTGAGCACATCTTCCATGTGTGCAGGGGCACGGAAAGCTGCCAGAACACTTGCACAAAATGCAGGTACATTGACTTCCTGTAGCCAGGAAGGTTACTGTTACTTCTCTGTCACTGTGAGAGCAGTGGAGCTCTTGAGGTGCCAGAGAATCTCAGGACGAGTTACAGCTAGAGGGTGCTGCTTAACTAGGCCAGGCAGAGGGACAAGAAGGGTTTACTGTTGGTTGCACAAGTAAGGAAACAGCAACACTGTTCCCTCCCTGACTACCTTTTCTTCCTCTGTACTGGGACCATACAGGCTGGGGACTAAAATGCTTTCTGTAACTTCTTGCTTGGGAAAAGGAGAGCTGCTGCTATGCAGGGTGCTGGCATCCTTCAGCAGAGATGAAGATGGGTCATTTAAGGAGGATGCTACCTTTTTTCCTTATGAGGACTGCAGAAATTCTGCTACGAATGGGATGGTGGCATCCATGGTGCTCTTCTCACAATCACTAGTTAGCTTTGGGTTCTTGACCTTTGGTGGGAGCAGGTCAGGACAGGCAGAATTAGACAAAAGAAAACACATGTTTTCTTTATTCCAGCAGCATCAAGGCATTCAGCCTAATGAAATCTGAGCTCCACAATGCCAAAAAATAACTTACAAGTGAGAACTGGGAGCTGACAAGGTAGAGAAGCTGTGGCAGTGGCTCTAACACAAAGCCATGCTGTAGGGAATTTTTTAGGGAAAATGTTGAGGAATTCACACAGGTGGCTTCCCTGGATCTCCCTAATCCAGTAGATTTCTGAATTTTTCAGTCATCAGAATGGAGGAGGAGTGTAGAAGATAGATAACATTAACTGCAATCCTGTAGCAGTTCTACTAAGATCCTTTCCAGGATAAAGGAGAAATGTGAGGGATGGATGCACACTGTGAACCTGGAGTTCCTACAGCTCTACTCATGGTTCACTGTGAGAGAGGCTGTGCAAAAAGTTTACTGAGAAAATCAGGGTTTTTTTTTTTGACAAATTTGAATTAAACATCTTTAATTATGTAAAACTAGAAAAAAGCACATAACCAGATGTTTAGTTCCACTTAACTCTATGCAGACGAAGTGCAGGGATAGAATGGTAAGCTTTGGTAGATGCTCAATTTGTTGTGTTACTGAGTGTCAGAGGGACCACTAGATACTCGCCTTCTGAGTTGCACGGTTCATTACACTGTGGCACCAGTTTTGGGCCATGAGTACTTTTTTATGGTCTATACAAACAGGATCTTTAAAAATTACTTGGTTTTGTTTTTAGCAACTCTCAGTCAACCAAAATGTCATATAATTCAAATGTAATCTATGCTGAATTTGGAATTTATATGCCTTTTTCAATGAAATAATGGCATCTCCCATGTCGTATACAAGAACTCTCGTTACTTCTCTTTTAACACACAAAAACACACACTCGTTCTCTCATTGAATATCTGTATGATACTCATAAAATGCCAGCATCTGTGGTATCAAGATAGTGAATATAATAGTTTAAGAAATAGGATTTGTGTACAAGCAGATTCTTGTATTCCTGGGTCCCACTCACTTCCAGATGGTCAAACTAGACAATTTCTGATCTCCTTCAATAGGCACATCCAAAGCTTAGGACCCAGAACTGGAAATGTCTTCTTAGGTCCCAATTCTGCTCCCATTTAAGTCAATGGCAGAACTCTCACTGATTTCAATAAGAGCAGAATTGGGCCCCAAGAAATTGGTCCACAGTAGTTACTAATCTCCTGTGGGTTCACTTTGTCCAGCAGACCTTATTGGCATTATGAGAACGTGCTAGTCCTGGACATGGACACTCACCGTTTAGCGTTGGTGTCAATGACGATTGGCAAGTAGTCCATGACAGCTATGTATATAAACTGTTTTGCATCATCAATAACACTGTATATAGCTTCAATATCCAGGACTCTGTCCTTTGGGCAGAAGAGTTTAGGTGAATTCTGTGAAAGAAAACATTCAAATATGGCATTTAAAATACATGATTTATTTTCTCTTCCTCTCATTCTTCTTGAGATAGCAAGTAGCATAATTTATTTTAGTAGAGAATATTAACTGATACCTTCAACTGTCTTGCTAGAATACTCAAAGGTACAAAGGAGAGGTATTTGATTAACTTCCCCCTGAAAGCCTCACCATTTAGATGTAACTGTGGGTAAAATGTGGAAGACACAAACTTGTCATCAAACTGTCATCAAGCAAACTCTCCTTCAAGTTATATTTATTTCAGAGAATTTTGTTCCAGAGCCTCCCAGGACTGGTTACTATTAGCAGTATCTGTGTGATTGCCGCACAAGCCTGATCCATCACTTGGGACCGGAGATTACGTCTTATGATGTCAGTTCTGCTTAAAGTTCTGCACTCAGTCACTGTTGCTGGGAGATGCTGCAGTTTTGCAAGAAACCGATCTTTAAGACCTATCTTCAGGTATAAATTAACACTGGTAAGTGGTAAACCCAGCTTTCAGCTTTTCTGCCTTGTGTTTAGGGCTGTCGAATGTGTCAGACA